TATACATCCTATATTTAAGAATGGAGGTAGTAATAAATACCTATTTGATAAGCATTTATTGGTTTATCAAAGAAATATTTCTGGCATTATCTTAACGTGCTGCTTTAATGCATGGATTGAATACTGTGACGCAAAAAGAAACTTCAGATATTCCCATCCAATGTACTAGTACTAAATTCCTAATACGAAGAAACCTTTTGGGCTAAAGAATCAAAGGAAAAGTAAGGCATCCGGCACTTCACCCGATGATCGATATTAATTAAACATATCACAACTATTAGATCTTCGTAGTCGTAAAGATCTACATAACGTACTTTTTTTTGCACGGGAATACATTTCTCATTCATAAAATAAAAAGACAAGTTACTAACCACATAGACACCAACTTCACGAAAATTAAAAGATAACAGAATACTAGCCTCTGCACAAAGAACCATCAGTACGTAGACACGCGATAGACAGACCAATGGCACTAAGGAGGTGCGATTTAGGGCTTGAAACAATGGTAGGTATATGATGGATAGTGTGTATGTTTTGCACGATCTCACTCCTTACCCAAGCACCTCAGACCCCTCTGAATAATCCGGTTGTCTTATTATGACTATAGAAAACAAAAATGAAAACTCTTGAGTCTTCAAATAACCACGCCTTTTTCCTTTTTAAGGGGGGAGGGGGGTGGGGTCAACCTCTCCATAAGATAATCCTCGAGAGACCAATGAACTGACATAATTAAACTTAATAACTATCATTAGTCTCACTAACCACGTTGTCATCACATTAAAATACCACCAGGGACTAAATGCACTTTTACTTGGTAGTAGCGTGCATCGTCTCGGATCTACCTCGGTCGAAGGAAAGGTCGAAGCTGCCCGGTCCACCTCGATGGAGGGAATTCACGAGATAGAACAAGGCAGATCCTATCAAACCATGTGTCCAAAACGTCACTCTGGGTATTTTTGGGCTTTTCAGCCCAACAGGGGAAATCCAATGAAAGCCCTCACAAGCAGTGGTGGAGGTACCAAAATATTATTGGGCGGGCCAGATTGAAGAAAAACACACGAGTTTAGCTTCCCAGACCCAGTTTCACCTTATTCAATGATTTGGCCCAAGGCTAGGCAGACCACCGCCCACTTTTGTTTCAACTAAGCTCCATCCCTGCTCCCAATCCCATGTGTACCAAACAACAGGAGAGCTATATCTCACTCTTTACGAGGCGGTAGCTCATCTCGTCTCGCCCCTAGCGCCGCTAGCATGCCGACCCAGGTGTGTTCTGTGGTTTTTGTGGGAGCGGTTTTAGAAAGCTATGAACCGGTTTGGACTATCTGAAATTTCGCGTGTTCTTTTCTACGTGTTTTCTATATCGATTTTTTCCTTTCGATTTTCTCCTTTTTTTGTGCTCATTTATTTATTATTGTCTTCCTTTCCTTTCATTTTTTCCTTCATTTCTGAAATACACGCAAACATTTTTCAAATGCACATAGAACATTTTTCATATACATGATGATCAGTTTTCACATACACATTGAGTATTTCCAATTATGGGTTGAACATTTTTCTCAAATACATGTTGAACATTTTTTGATACACGATGAATATTTTTAACACACATTGAACATTATGCGTAAATGCCATGAACATGTTTTTTAAACATGCAAACCATTTGTTAACTGCTAGATTCTCATTAACCACATTGTCATCACATTAAAATACCACCAGGGACTAAATGCACTTTTACTTGGCAGTAGCGTGCATCGTCTCAGATCTACCTCGGTCGAAGGAAGGCCGAAGCTGCCCGGTCCACCTCGATGGAGGGAATTCATGAGATAGAACGAGGCATCCTATCAAACCATGTGTCCAAAACGTCACTCTGGGTATTTTTGGGCTTTTCAGCCCAACAGGGAAAATCCCATGAAAGCCCTCGCAAGCAGTGGTGGAGGTACCAAAATATTATTGGGCGGGCCAGATTGAAGAAAAACACACGAGTTTAGCTTCCCGAACCCAGTTTCACCTTATTCAATGATTTGGCCCAAGGCTAGGCAGACCACCGCCCACTTTTGTTTCAACTAAGCTCCATCCCTGGTCCCAATCCCATGTGTACCAAACAACACGATAGCTATATCTCACTCTTTACGAGGCGGTAGCTCATCTTGTCTCGCCCCTAGCGCCGCTAGCATGACGACCCAGGTGTGTTCTGTGGTTTTTGTGGGAGCGGTTTTAGAAAGCTATGGGCCGGTTTGGACTATCTAAAATTTCGCGTGTTCTTTTCTACGTGTTTTCTATATCGATTTTTTTCCTTTCAATTTTCTCCTTTTTTTTGTGCTCATTTATTTATTATTGTCTTCCTTTCCTTTCATTTTTTCCTTCATTTCTGAAATACACGCAAACATTTTTCAAATGCACGTAGAACATTTTTCATATACATGATGATCAGTTTTCACATACACATTGAGTATTTCCATTTATGGGTTGAACATTTTTCTCAAATACATGTTGAACATTTTTTGATACACGATGAATATTTTTAACACACATTGAACATTATGCGTAAATGCCATGAACATGTTTTTTAAACATGCAAACCATTTGTTAACTGTTAGATTCTCACTAACCACATTGTCATCACATTAAAATACCACCAGGGACTAAATGCACTTTTACTTGGCAGTAGCGTGCATCGTCTCAGATCTACCTCGGTCGAAGGAAGGTCGAAGCTGCCCGGTCCACCTCGATGGAGGGAATTCACGAGATAGAACGAGGCAGATCCTATCAAACCATGTGTCCAAAACGTCACTCTGGGTATTTTTGGACTTTTCAGCCCAGCAGGGAAAATCCCATGAAAGCCCTCGCAAAGCAGTGGTGGAGGTACCAAAATATTATTGGGCGGGCCAGATTGAAGAAAAACACACGAGTTTAGCTTCCCGAACCCAGTTTCACCTTATTCAATGATTTGGCCCAAGGCTAGGCAGACCACCGCTCACTTTTGTTTCAACTAAGCTCCATCCCTGGTCCCAATCCCATGTGTACCAAACAACATGATAGCTATATCTCACTCTTTACGAGGCGGTAGCTCATCTTGTCTCGCCCCTAGCGCCGCTAGCATGACGACCCATGTGTGTTCTGTGGTTTTTGTGGGAGCGGTTTTAGAAAGCTATGGACCGGTTTGGACTATCTAAAATTTCGCGTGTTCTTTTCTACGTGTTTTCTATATCGATTTTTTTCCTTTCAATTTTCTCCTTTTTTTTGTGCTCATTTATTTATTATTGTCTTCCTTTCCTTTCATTTTTTCCTTCATTTCTGAAATACACGCAAACATTTTTCAAATGCACATAGAACATTTTTCATATACATGATGATCAGTTTTCACATACACATTGAGTATTTCCATTTATGGGTTGAACATTTTTCTCAAATACATGTTGAACATTTTTTGATACACGATGAATATTTTTAACACACATTGAACATTATGCGTAAATGCCATGAGCTTGTTTTTGAAACATGCAAACCATTTGTTAACTGTTAGATTCTCACTAACCACATTGTCATCACATTAAAATACCACCAGGGACTAAATGCACTTTTACTTTGCAGTAGTGTGCATCGTCTCAGATCTACCTCGGTCGAAGGAAGGTCGAAGCTGCCCGGTCCACCTCGATGGAGGGAATTCACGAGATAGAACGAGGCAGATCCTATCAAACCATGTGTCCAAAACGTCACTCTGGGTATTTTTGGGCTTTTCAGCCCAACAGGGAAAATCCCATGAAAGCCCTCGCAAAGCAGTGGTGGAGGTACCAAAATATTATTGGGCGGGCCAGATTGAAGAAAAACACACGAGTTTAGCTTCTCGAACCCAGTTTCACCTTATTCAATGATTTGGCCCAAGGCTAGGCAGACCACCGCTCACTTTTGTTTCAACTAAGCTCCATCCCTGGTCCCAATCCCATGTGTACCAAACAACACGATAGCTATATCTCACTCTTTACGAGGCGGTAGCTCATCTTGTCTCGCCCTTAGCACCGCTAGCATGACGACCCAGGTGTGTTCTGTGGTTTTTGTGGGAGCGGTTTTAGAAAGCTATGGACCGGTTTGGACTATCTAAAATTTCGCGTGTTCTTTTCTACGTGTTTTCTATATCGATTTTTTTCCTTTCGATTTTCTCCTTTTTTTTTGTGCTCATTTATTTATTATTGTCTTCCTTTCCTTTCATTTTTTCCTTCATTTCTGAAATACACGCAAACATTTTTCAAATGCACATAGAACATTTTTCATATACATGATGATCAGTTTTCACATACACATTGAGTATTTCCATTTATGGGTTGAACATTTTTCTCAAATACATGTTGAACATTTTTTGATACACGATGAATATTTTTAACACACATTGAACATTATGCGTAAATGCCATGAACATGTTTCTTAAACATGCAAACCATTTGCTAACTGTTAGATTTTTTTAAAATGCCACAAACATTTTTTTGAATATTCATAATTTTTTTTACTTACCTAAATATATTTTTTATTTTTTTTGAATATTGAGAACATATTTTTGAATTTTGGGAACTTTTTTTAATGGTATAATTTTTTATTAAATCACGCATATGTTTATTTACATTGTATAATTTTATTTAAATTTCTGAAGCAAAATTTGAAATGCACGCACATTTTTTAAATGTCGCAATTTTTTTTGAAACGCGTGAATTTTTTTTCTTTGCGTGATAAAATACTTTGAGATTTTGAATTAATTATTTTTATATTTCAAATATATAAACAAAAGTAAAAAATAAAGAAGAAAAAATGAGAGGAAAACACGAACGAAACGTAGCGACCCACGCGATCCTATTGGGCCGGCCTCGCTTGAGGTACAGACGCGCGCTCAAGGCCTCAACAGGCCCCGCGGCCCCGCGAGGACGAGTCGAGCGAGATCCCGGCAAATGATAAGCTTCAGGAGTGAAGCATTCGAGGATAAGAGGAGGAAGAGCCGTTGAAGGAAAGAAGAGATGACGATGTCGTCGCCGGCCTCCACCCACCTCCTCCGCTCCGCGCCCGCGGCGCCCCTGCTCCCTCGCCGCGCCTCCCTGCAGCTCTCCTGCGTCGCCAGCGGAGCCGCGCCAAGGAGTAGGAGACGGAGCGGCCGCCTGGAGGTAGTCCGCGCGGCCACCGCGGAGGTGGCCGAGGCCGCCGGCGCCCCCGCCTACACCACCGAGTCCCTCATCCTCTACTTCAAGGCGGAGGGCACCATGGAGGAGAGGTCTATCCCCAAGATCACCCAGGCTCTCGAGGTGCATTCACTGATTGATTTATTGCTGATTGGGATGGACGATGAACGTCGGCCGGTAAATCAACCATCGATTGAGATAAACATGTGCGTGTGTGTTGTAGGGGATGGACGGCGTCAGTGACCTGGAGGTGCTCATCGAAGAAGGCATCGGAAGTGTTGTGGTAAAATTTGCCCCCCTCTGCTCCTAATTTTTCATCGTCAACTGCTCCTAGTAATTCACTGTGCACGTATATATAATTATATATGCATTTCTTTTTGCGTGGAATATCTATCTGCAGCATATGCTCAGACCATTATCCCAATTTTGTAAACATGTACGTCCATGTGATCAGTCTATTCGCCGAGCACATTATGTTCTGAGAAGTGTACTATCTGCAAGCACAAGAATAGACTTGTCTTGCAAGCAGAGAGGACGTTATCGTCAGATAGTAGCCTCTTAGTTGTAGCCCCGAACAAAAAAAATTCCTGGAGATTCCTAAGAAAAAGAAAATCCACAAATGTCTAATTTTTTGTTTGTTTGGCACTCAGTTATCTGAAAGAATCAACAAAGAAAGTAAAACACAATTAGCTATACAGAGATCTCTGCAAGCCAGATCTGTAATCCTGTCTATATTGCTACTAGATTAACCATTCATATATGATCATGAGAGATGAGAGCAGCGCTGTATATTTTTATATCCATTACTTATAAAGTGATTCTTAGTTACAAGATTTTACAAACAAAAACGCCGTAACGTACAATGTGGTGAGGACAAGGAAAGCTCCTTGCAGATTTGCAGTGGTTCTATGCTCAGGGCACCTGGAAAGTACAGCAACAAAATTATCAGTTGGGTGACTAATATTTTTTTACCACATTGGAAAACAATGTGCAGGGACTAGTTAATTTCTTAAGCACTTGTCTGAATTTTCACTTAAGCATTTGCAAGACATATTTAGTTAAAACTTGAAAACCAGATCAAGATCAAAAGTCCAAATGGTTAGGATGTAGAACAGTTCACATTGATTTGCTGACGAACTTCTGTTTTCACCAAGTGATATCTATTTTCAAGTTTTCTCAGTGTTCTGTTAGCCCAAAAATACAGGAAAAAAGGGCTAAGCTTGGTTGCCACTTGCCAGTAACAACAAATTGTGGAGAATGATAGAAGCGTCTCAATCTCCATACAGGAGACCCGCGTGATATATATTGATAGCATGGTCGATACAACGTGCGGTAGCTCGAGGCTTAACCGATCAGAGGAGATTACAGGGAGGTTTAGAGAGATAAGGAGATAAGAAGATAAATGAGATCTCTAACCTAACCTCCTAACAATATCTCCAATGCACATACGTGACATGTCTAACACGCCCCCTTAATCTGAACTTCTCAAGTTGAGATTACGTTTAAACTCTTCAAACTGTCTTGTAGCCAAAGCTTTTGTGAACCCATCTGCAACTTGATCTTTTGAAGGAATAAATCTAATGTCCAACTCCTTGCTTGCAACTCTTTCTCTCACAAAATGATAATCGATTTCAATGTGCTTTGTCGTTGCATGAAACACGGGATTAGCAGAAAGATATGTGGCACCAAGATTATCACACCAAAGACATGGTGTTTGAGCATGTATTCCAAGTTCTTTCAACATGGCCTTAACCCAGATGATCTCAGCTGTTGCATTGGCTAGTGCTTTGTATTCTGCCTCAGTACTAGATCGTGACACTGTTGCTTGCTTCTTGGCACACCAAGAGATAAGATTAGGTCCAAAGAAAACTGCAAACCCACCAGTGGACTGTCTGTCATCCAAGCAACCTGCCCAGTCAGAATCAGAAAAAGCACTAACAAGAGTAGAGGAGGACTTGCTGAAAGTAAGTCCAACACTCAAGGTACTCTTCACATATCGTAGAATCCGCTTAGCAGCAGTCCAATGAGCTGAGGTAGGTGCATGCAGAAACTGACATACTTTATTGACTGCAAAAGAAATGTCAGGTCGTGTAAGTGTTAAGTACTGAAGTGCTCCAACCAAACTTCTGTACTTAACACTTACACGACCTGACATTTCTTTTGCAGTCAATAAATGTCAACTTGATCCAAGAGTACACCCTCGGCAAGTGATAATCTTTCTGCACTAGAAAGGGGAGTTGGAGATGGTTTACAATCTCTCATCCCAGCCTTGGTCAAAAGATCAGTGGCATACTTTTCCTGAGAGAGGTGAAGACCACCATCACTGTTCCGCTTCACATCAATGCCAAGGAAAAAGTGAAGATCTCCCAGATCCTTAAGCACAAAATCTGAATGCAAATCTTGCAACAAAGCTGTGATTGCCTTATCAGAGGAACTTGTAACAATAATATCATCGACATAAATAAGCACAAAAATGATAGTATGTGACTTCTTGTAAATGAACAATGATGTATCTGACTTGGAGGGAATAAACCCAAGAGCTAGCAGTTTAGAACTCAGACGTGAATACCATGCTCTGGGAGCTTGCTTGAGACCATAGAGGGACTTGTCAAGTTTACAAACATGAGACGGTTTGTGTTTATTTTCATACCCTTGAAAGGGGCGCCGATTGTTGTTGTTGTTTCGCCGGTTGTAGCCGCCACCACCAGAAGGGTTCTGGTTCTGAGGAAAGTGGCCACCGCCACCACCAGAGCCCCCCTGATGACCCCTAAACCCACTTACAATCAATGATGTTGTAACGTGGATGATAAGGAACAAGATGCCATGTATGATTATTCTGCAGAGCACTAAATTCTTCATCCATAGCGTGTTTCCAGCGAGGATCAGCAAGAGCATCGGTGACAGTCCGAGGTTCACCTGTGGAATCAATGGAAGTAGCTAAACCATATTTAGTCTTGTAATTAATTGGATGAATGGTTCCTGCCTGTAGACGCGTACGAGGCCGCGGCTGAGGAGCCGTAGACGATCCGGGCGACAGCGACGAACACAGTCCTGGCGATCCCGAGACAGATCCGCTCGACAGCGCGGGATCTTCTGTGGCAGCTGCAGTGGAAGGATCATCAGAGGCAGCCGCAGAAGATCCGGGTGAATCAAACGCGGGGACCGTGCCGCGGCTAGCCGATGCAGGCGCAGGGGCCCGCCTAGAGTAGACCTGCGGGATCGGCGCGTACCGCCTGGTCGGGCTGTCCTCGGCAGGTGATTGGCGCGCCTCGCTCGGGGAATCCGGCGCAGACCGCCTGGTCGGGCTGCCCCCTGCAGCCGATTGGTGCACCGCACGTGGGGAGGGCGGGTCGGTGGGAAGGCGCGACGCGACCGGGCGGGACTGACTCGGCAGTCTGCCTGGGCCCAGCAGCGATCCCGAGGAGGATTCGCTGGGATCTCCTGTTGCCTCTTCTGTTGCTGCTGAAACAGTGTTTTCTGCGCCATTTGCTGCTGAAATACAAAACTCAGGTGCAATAGGTGATGGATTAGTCAATGTTGGATCAGTACAAATATCATCACCCTCACACGGAACGCCGGATAACTGAGGAGGAAGGAGAAGAATTTCCTTTCGGAGAAGGGCGTCGGCGTTTGGATGGAGTTTTGCAAAAGGGAATTGAGTTTCATCAAACACAACGTCACGTGAGATATACACACGTCCGGTGGAAACATCTAAGCACTTGACCCCCTTATGCTGAGCGCTATACCCAAGAAAGACACATTGCTTAGACCGGAAACTAAGCTTACGAGTGTTGTAGGGACGAAGATTTGGCCAACAGGCACACCCAAAAACGCGAAGTGTGGTGTAATCTTGTGTGACATGAAAGAGACGTTCAGTGGGAGTTGCATTAGAAATAGTGCGACTAGGCCACATGTTGATGAGATGCACGGCAGTGAGAAAGGTTTCGTCCCAAAATTTTAGTGGCATTGAAGCAGAAGCTAAGATAGCAAGACCTACTTCAACGATGTGCCTATGCTTGCGTTCAGCAGAGCCATTCCGTTGGTGCGCATGGGGACAAGATACGTGATGTGAGATACCTATC